TAATTAATATTATTAATATTAATGAGCTATTTTTGCTTAGTAACAAGTTAAAATTTATTTAACATTAAAAAAACTCCTTCAATTTTCAAGGAGTATCTTCTTAATAACATAAAAGTGGCATAAGAGAGTGCTATGGACTGGAGTCATGGGGTATTAGAGACAGAAAGAACCCTGAGGTGCTCTTACTCCACAGGGGAAAGCATGAGATCCAGAAAACCAAAGGAAAGCTCACTCACCTGCCTTGATAATACAGATACGAGCTTGAGCTCAGTTGTCATTTAAGCTCCAGGCTCTTTCTAGACAGGTAATTTCCTTTTTTCCAGTCTGATTGCCCACCACAAGTAATTATATATACCAGGCCTTACACTAAGTGCTGGGTGAACAAGCCAGACACAGGCCTGCCTTCAGGGAGTTTACACTGGAATGAAGCTGATTAAACAATTTTAAATGTCACGAGGCTGGAAGAGGATGGTGCTGTAAAGAATCGATTTAATCGACTATTATAAGGGTGTTTACATATCACTGGAGTTGTGCAGTGAGAAACCATATGGCTGGGGATGGAAGGTGGATTGGAGGAGAGGAGGTGAGACTCTGAACCCCTCTCAACTCTTTATCAGCTCCACATTAATTCACATGTGATTTTCTTCAGAAGAAATCCAAGGGTTAGGAATGATGGGAACACTTCTGACTGTCCTTAGAGTAACCACTAAGATTGAAGGATGAATCGGAAACACTGGATAAACTAAGCTTTTTGGATTCCAAAAGTCAGATAAAGATTTCTGTGTTATTCTCATCTGAAGTTACTGAACCAAGACTTTAACACAACTTTTCTGCCTTAGGCATTTTGCTCACCATACTCTGAGACTGGAAGCAGGAGTGGCATCCTCTTCCTAAACAACATGCCTCTGCAAACTTTATGAACTTTGACAAGTGACAATAGCTATTGAAAGGCCTCAGGTATTTTTTTCATAAGGTCGCTATGAGTCGTGCTCGACTCGATGGCAATCAACAACACAACAACAACAACAACAACAACAACAACAACAACAACACTCTGAGATATACAAGAGATTGAACTGACATCCTTATAAGGTACAGCAAAATGAGGCATTACCTTAATAAGTTACATAATTATAATACATTATAATTAAAAAGCAGAATACAACACCAATTTTGAATCTAAGCTAAGTGGTGACTATGTTTATTTCTGGTTCATTAACTCACCTCACATACTTTGGGCATGCTATCAGGAGGGGCCAGTCAATTTCCATAGGAGGATATCAAGTTTGGTAAAGTAGGAAGTGAGGAAAAAAAGAAGAAAACCCTGAATGACAACTATTGACACAGTGACTGCAAGAATGGGCGAAGCACAACTGTGAGGATGATGCTGGACTCGCCGGGCTTTGGTCCCAACTGTACATCTTCTGCTGTAAGTTAGAACTGACTCTTGGGCACCTAATAACAATTCACAGAGCAAAGGAGTCCCTTTCTGGTACAAATAGTTAAGTATTGGACTGTTGTTGTTGTTAAGTGCCATCGAGTTGTAGGCAACTCATAGTGACCCTATGAATGAAAGACCTGAACACTTGTGTAACTTTCATCCTTTCTCCAGGTTCATAGGGTTTCCGGAGGCAAGCTATTACGGAAGTGGATGCCACTCCTGCTTCCAAGCTTGTTTTAATAGGGGAGCTCCACCAAACACTGTCCACCATGGGTAACCATTATTGCATTTGACACATCAGTGTCACAGTGTTCAGCATCACAGCAACCACGAGTCACCTCTGTACAGCAAGTGGACAGACCAGGGCTATACAACCTAGAAGAATGCTTAAACAATCAGGCCCTACCAAATTTAAGAACCAGAGCATGGTTTAAACTCCATGAGCTCCTTCATTTCAAATTCCTCAATAATCATGCATTCTCATTAACTTCATCCACTCTGAGAGCATTCCGCTGCTTCTTCAATCTCCTCTTATTCTGATGTCACATGTTTCTTCATAGAGTCTTACTTCTCTAATGATTTATCCACCATATAGACTGAGTACACATGAGGGAAGGATACATATATAAACAGAAAATGAACAAAGGCCTGAAGCCTTTCTATAACTATCATAATTTCTCCAAGTTTTTAGACTTTCCACAGGCATGTAGTTAGGAAGTAGATGCCAGTCCTGATTTCAAACCTGAATCAATATGGGAGCTCCACCACAAACTGCCCATGATGGGTAGCCAATTATGGTGTTTGATACACCTATGGCCCAGTTGTCTATCATCACAGCAACTCCATGTTATTTCAGTAGAACAAATAGAGAAAAATAGAAAAAAAGCCCAACCACACAATCCATACAGATCCTCAACCAAAACAAGAACTCCTTGTACAGAGTCCACCACTTCACCTAACTCCAAAATTGAGACAAGGGCTAGGCTTTATATGTTGCTGTTATTGTTGTTACATGTCATTGAGTGGTGACCTTATAACCAAAAGACCCTAAACCTGTTCTATAAAAATTGTTTTCTTTCTAAGTTCATAGAGTTTCCACAGGCATGTTTAGGAAGTGGATACCACTCCTGCTTCCAAAGCCTGTCTTAATCTGTGAGCTGTACCAGACATTGTCAACCATGTGTAACCATTATGGGAATTGATGGACCACTGGCACGCCGTTTAGTATCACAGAAATTCAAAGTTACCCAAGTGCAGCAAAATGACAGAGAAGTGCTGTACCACACAGGAAATGTTCATTTGAAATACATTTAAATCAGGCCTGAGGGCCCAAATGACTAGTTTTAAAAAGAAGTCTCAGCTTCTGCCCCAGTCTCTCATTGGCTTCAAGGAGAGGTTCCCAGCCCACTGTCACCACTGACCAAAAGGCCAAAGTTGTTTTCCATGGTGCATGAGAACTGGCTCTTCCACAATTTGAATAACTAGCTTTAAAAAGAAGTCTCAGCTTCTGCCCCAGTATCTCATTGGCTTCAAGGAGAGGTTCCCAGCCCACTTTCAACACTGACCAGGAGGCCAGAGCTGTCTTCCATGGCACATGAGAACTTGCTCTGCAATAATTAGACTGACTGGACTACGAACTGAAAATTTAGTGGTTCAAATCCTCCCAGAGCTGCGTTGGAAGTAAGGCTTAATTATCTGCTTCTGAAAGGTCGCTGCCTTGAAAAGCCTATGAGGCAGCTCTACTCTCCACATTTGGGGTCATCTTAGTTGAGACTGGCCCTGTGCTAACTGACAACAGCAGTACTCATTCAGAGAATGGGTTAGTGGTGGTTCAGTCACAGCATTCTTGTCTTCCCTGCACAAAACCCAGGCTTGAGTCTCAGTCCATGCACCTTGCATCCAGACACCAGCTGTCAGTGGAGGCCAGATCGTTATTACGATGCTGAATAAGGTTTGGGGAACTTCTGGACGAATATGCCCTAGAAAGAAGGCACTGACAATCTCCTTCTGAAAAATCAGCCACTGAAAACCCTCTGTGTCAGTCACAATAGTCTCACCTGAATCACAAAGATGGCGGAGGGCTGCCCAATGTCCCCTTTTGTTGTGCCTGGGTACCCCATAAGCCAGGACTGACTCCATGCAGTGAACACTAGCACACAGCAACTGGAGAAACCAACCTGAATGTATCTCCAACTCTGTCATGGAAGTAGATGAAGTTTTCATTGTCAATCATTAGGAGATCACCACTGTTGAAATAGAGGTCTCCTTTCCGGAAGACATCTCTCAGTTTCTTCTTCTCTGTCTGACTTTTTCCTCCAGCATAGCCACTAAATGGTGTAAGATTTGTGATTTTGCAAATAAGAAGTCCGACTTCACCTAAGAGGGAGAGGAAAAAAAACACAGTTATTTTATGTGCTGTCACTAAAAGCATGTTTTATTGCCAATATTCTCTTAAAATGGATGGCATAAAAGTCACTGGCAATAAGTTGGATGCAAGATGTGTAACTTCTATGCACCTAAACATATATATTTAATATGCATGCACATTAAACACATGTATATTAAGCATATAACCACATATACATTGTACATTATTCTGCATGACCACACAGTCATAATTCTTTCAAGGCTCATTTTTTCTGGCATAATCATTTACATTCATCAGTAGACAAATGTGTAGTAATTTGAACTTAAAGGTCACCTAAAGCTAACTGTACTTTTGTAACTATAATCACATGTCCCTTTCTGCAAAAAGTTTACCTCAACAGCAATAAGTAAGCTGTTTAATTAGGTTTGAAATTAGAACTTTATTACCATTGATATATAGTGGTGATATAATATTGTGACTGCATACTGCATATATTTACATTAGTGATATTTCTATAACTATTTCTAAGATCACAAAATAAAACTGTTTTCCCATTTTAGTAAATGTAGTATATGTTCATTTTAGCAATAATATACTAGTTATTAAAAGCAATATGGCAAAAGTAAGAAAAGGCCCAAGTTAACTTATCCAGCGTCCACAGAACCTTTGGGAACTTTGATGCAGTATCCATTTCCATCTCGGACCGGCTCGTCTTTCTCCACATCGTACTTAATCAGGTCATAAGATATGACTTTCTAGCAAAATGAAACATACAATGTGAGTGTAAATTCTGTCGGGCTTTTTCTATTGTGGTAAGACAAACATACAACAGGTTACAAAGAACACTAACCTTACATGTCCAGCTTAACAAATTTTTATATAAGTAATACACCCATGTTCCTAGCACCACAATCCAGATATAAGATGTGTAATCACTCAAGAATGCCTGTAAAAGTTATGTTGGTGTGTCTCTCAGAGGCTTGTTGTTTGTTTTTAGTTATCAATAATTTATTGCCTCATGTGAATATTGGAAGGAGGAGTGGCATCTACTTCCGTAATAGCTTGCCTCCGGAAACCCTATGAACTTGGAAAGAGGATGAAAGGCACCCAAGCGTCGAGGACTCTCCTTCATAGGGTCGCTATGAGTCGCCTGCGACTCAACGGCACTTAACAACAGCAACAACAAATGTGAATATACTGTAATTTCTTTTTCTTTTTTTAAAATTAATTTTAATGAAAGTTTACAGAGCCTTAGTTTCCAGTCATTCATTGTTGCACTTTTCTCCCTGCCCACCCCTTCCCCCCTGTAATTTATTTTTCAATTTTCCTCTATTGGTGACTTTATAGATTATTCCTAATTTGAGATTATAAAGTGGCCAGGAATATTTTCCTGTATGTCTTACAGTGATCATATCAGAAATGAGGTTTTAAAACTGTGTATAACTTTCTAATAATATGATATTGCTAAAATATACTATATAATATTATATTAACTCCCATTTCAAGGGCATGTTCAAGGAGATTATATAGAATCCAAGGGAGCTGCACTGCTGTCCCAAAGGTGGTGATTCTGGTGGTTTGAATCCACCAATTGCTCCTCGGGAGAAAGATGGGCAGTCTCTTCCAAGCAATAAAACCTACTGGAGGGTCAGCAATGAGTTGATTCCGATTTGATGGCAATGAATTAGTGGGACTATTCCTTGGAAAGGGACAATATCATGCTTGAAAAGATGAAGAATCAGCAAAAGAGAGGAAGACTCCCAGTGAAATGGACTGACACAATGACTGCAGCAAAGGGCTCAAGTATGTCAGAGATGATGAAGATGGCACATGACAGACAGGGTTCAAGCTGATTGTTCATAGGGTCACTATGAGTTGTACTCAATGGCACCTAACAACAACAATAATTACAAATACTGCATCTCTAAATCATGTTCTAGGAGACTGCACCTATGTATGTATTATATATGGAAATATATAGGAGCTCTGGTGGTGTAGTCTGTAGGGAGATGTGTTGCTAACCCAAAGGCTTTACTTGTCTGGTTGTTCTGAATCCACCATCGACTCCTTGGGAGAAAGATAGGTAATCTTCTCCTTTAGGGCTTACAGCCTCAGAAACTTGTAAGTGGAGGGTCAGCTACAAGTCAGTTTTGACTTGATTCAATGGTATATAACAATGAAATAGAAACATAAGTATATAAATATATATAGAAAATTTAGTGTAAGTTGGAAAGAGACTGTAACTAGAAGGCCAACTCTGAGTCTGTAATATATATGATATTATTATGTACCATGGAGTCAGAACTGACTCACAGCTGACCCTCCAGTGGGTTTTCAGAAGCGGTAAACTGTATGGGAAGAGACTGTGCACCTTCCTCCCACAGAGCACCTGGTGTTTTAGAACTGAATGCCTTTGGGTTGGCAGCACAACGCCTACCACTAAGCCACAAGAGCTTTAGGTCTATATCTATCTCTATATAGCTATCTCCATCTCTATAGTCTATGCCATTCTGCTTAAAAGATTTTTTTTAAATTTTATTATTTTTGTGTGAGTGTACCGTCAAATCAGATCTGACCGGTACAGGAGAAGATTGTCCCTCCTTTCCCGGCAGAGCATCTGGTGGATTCGAACTGTGAGCCTCTGGGATTGTAGTTGCATCTCCTTGCCACTAGGCCACTAGAGCTCCCCTTACTTAAAAGATTTAAAAAAGCATCTATCATTTCTAGTCTGATACACAGAATTCCATGAAATGCTCATCATGTTCAACCACTACGATTAATTATTTCTTAATTTTCCTGTCACCTTTATGTTTAATAATACATTTAAGATTCAGTGGTATAATTACTTTGTTACTATGCCTGTAAAACTATTGTTGTTGTTGTTAGATGGTACCCTCAAGCTGTAGACGACTCATAGTGACCCTATGAACAAAAGGCCTGAGCATTGTTCATAGAGTTTCCGAAGGCAAGCCATTTCAGAAGTGGATGCCACTTATGCTTCCAAGCTTGTTTTAATCAGGAAGCTCCACCAAACACTGTCCACCATGTGCAACCATTATTATATTTGGCACATCAGTGTCACAGTGTTTAGCATCACAGCAACCACAAGTAACCAGTGCTATACCACCTAGAAGAATGTTTGACAGGAAAACAATTTGAAACAGGCTTTAAACTCCATTATATTTGGTGTATATTGTGGTGTGGTGTTTAACTTCTGTGGTTGTTAACCAAATGGTCAGAGGTTTGAAATCACCAGCTATTTCACAGGAGAAATATGGTCAGTCTTGGAAAGATTTACAGCCCTGGACATCTGATGGAGGGCTGGAATTGATAGTCGGTATAATTAAGAATAATTTGTTCAATTAATTCAGTAAGTCGAAAAGAGAAATGGAATGATGGCAATCACTATAGCTAACACTTAATCACTTCCGTGATGCTTTTTCTCTACTAATGTCTAGTTTGAACCAAGCACTGGCTCTATGTTGTCTCTTTTCATCTATCTTATAGATGGTGAAATTAAAACCTAAGAAATATAAGTGACTTGCCTGTGGTCATTCAGCTGGCAGATGATGGCCCTGAGATTTAACTCCAGAGCCACAGCCCTTATGCTTGTGGACTACGGCTCACAGAGACCCAAGTTAGCCTGGGAGCCAAAGCATGGGCTGGCTGCTTTGTGGACAGATAAATGGGCTACCCAGAAGCATGTGACAGCAACAATTGCTCAATAAAATGTAAGCATTTTCTGAATATTCCTGGAATTGTAGAGAATATTTTGTCACTTGATACTGCCTTGGAGAGGGTAAAACCAAATTTTTCCTTGGAGGACAGGATTTTGAAGCTCTGTCTCACATACTGTGGGCATGTGGCCAGGAGGGACCTATCTTTGGAGAAGGACATCATGCTTGGAAGGGTGGAGGGACAGTGCAGTAGAGGAAGACCCCGGATGAGATGGATTGATACAGTGACTGGGGCGGTGGGGGTTAGTGTGTTGGAATCAGTGAGACTGGCTCAGGACAGGGCAGGCTTCAGAGCTGCTACACATGGGGTTGCTATGAGTTGCAGGTGACTCGATGGCACATAACAACAACACTCAAGCACTAAGAAGCAAATGGACTGTCCAGAGAGTCCAGGTGATAAAATGACTGAGTGGGTAAAGAGATTTCTGTGTGAACTTACTTAAAAAGAACAGATCTTTCCCTCATGGGATTATTAGGTGAAGACAGACCTGCACTCCAGGTCTTCTGAAGGTCTAGACAGTGTCTCTTAATCTTTGCACATAACTTTTAAAAAGGTATCCCCTGCTCCAACACCAAGTTCAAATTAGTTCATTCCAGTGATTCTCTGCTGAGAATTCAAATTTCCATTCTGGATATGAAATCAGGCTCCATTATATAGGATAGAAAGGAAAATTCTTAGTAGCAAGGTCAAATCAAAATTTTGTTGTGTACCCACAGCTGACCCTCCAGCAGGTTTTCAGAGGTAGTAACTCATATGGCAGGAGACTGCCCATCTGGAGGACCATTCAAACTGGAGGACTAGGGCTCTCTGTACTTGTGTATTTAAATTTCCTGATTCTTCTGGAACAGGATCACTCTCAGGGCCTGAACTGTGTTCCCAAAAATATGAATCTGCTTGGCTGGTTCAATGTATCGGGGTTATCTTTTTTATCTTAGAAAAGGAGAGATAAGCAATCATTGAGGGGTAAAGTTGTGTGTCAATTACTGCAAGAAAAAGGAGCCAGGAGTGGAGCGTGTCTTTTGGATTCAAGGTCCCTGTGTGGTAAACCTCCTAGATCAGGAAAAGATTGATGCCAAGACTCATGGATATCTCTAAGGAAAGCCAAATCTGCTCATGTTGAAAGGAGACAAAGGCCTTCCTGCAGAACACACAGAAAGCACTCCCCTAGAACCAACAGCCTTAGCCTCCTAAACTGTGGGAGAACATAGTTCTGTTTTTTAAAAAGCCATCCACTTACATTCTTTTTGTTTAGTAACAACAGTAGATAACTTAGTTGTTAATCACTAACAGCAAATATTACATCTTTAGATGAAGCAGAAGCTTTGGGAACATAAAACTCAACCCACTGCCATCAAGATTCGGAAGTATAGGAATCCCACAGGACAGAGGAGAACCACCCTATAGGGTTTTTTTGTAATGTTTACAGAAGCAGTTCATCATATCTTTGTCCAGCGGAGCAGCTGATGAGGTTAAGCCAATGATCTTTTGGTTTACGGCTGAATGCTTAATCACTGTGCATCAAAGTTCCTTAAGGAACAAAAAAGCTATTTTTTCTTTTTTAAATATCATGTACAATTAATGGCATCAGGAAGACTTCCCATTAGCTGCAGATGGCAAAGGCATTATTGGCTGTGACTTAAAACAAGTAAAGATTTTTTATTGGAAAACTGATTTTTTTAAGATCATAATTGCAGGGAATGAACAAAATTTCTCTGGGTGGTATTACAAAGGACAGTGTCCATTGGAGGGGCCATAACTTGGATATGACAAGAAATTCTGGTAAAATGCCATCAGATAAAGTAACTCTTAAGAAATCTTTGTATTCCAAAAAATGGCTCTCATTTATTAATGTACTTACTCTCTGTAGGTAGTTCGCTCTTCCAATGGCACCAACTTTTCTTGTATAATTCATAAATCCAATGTTTCCTTCAGTGGCAGCATATAATTCATAAATATGAATGTCCCCAAATCTCCTGAGAAATTCTTTCCAAACATCTCCTCGCAAGCCATTTCCCACCGCCATTCTCACTTTATGATCACGGTCATTTGGCTTCTGTAGAATGTAGAGGGAGAATATATTAATAACTGACTTTACATTTGTTTTCTATTTACATGGGTTGCAAAATTACCTGGCACATGTTCTTTCCTGCCAACCACTCACACGTTTAACCCTTCTATACACATGTAGTATGTGCTGAAAGCTAGAATTCTGACTGAATATTAAGTCTTGTATTTTACCATTTTAAGAGGAGACAATCAGAACTAGTTGATGTCAATGTTTAATCTATATCTGATCTAAAGTGTGAATAATGTGCTTCAAATGTGCATGATGGGCTGGTGAATCTCAGTGAATATCTGGGAAAGAGGGACTGTTTTGGAAAGATCTTATACAATCTCCTGCCACTAAGACATGATTAGCATCATTCAAACAGAAACAATTATTTTCACTTGAAAACAATGAAGAAAACTGTGATTACAGTCCAGTGAGAGAGAGATTTTCTTTTTTTAAAATTTATTATTAATTTCAGCAAAAATTTACAGAGACTTCGGATTTCCAATCATTCATTGCTGCACTTTTCTCCCCTCCCAACCGTCCTTCCTAATACACTACCCTCTTGTAAAAGTAAAACAAAAATTCTTTCACTGTTTTACAATCCCTCTCCCAGGTCCACTCCACCATGTAGCCTTTGCTTTGGACTCCTGTCATGACAAAAATACCTAATCACGTATCCCTTTTAGACAGTTTTCTCCCTCATCTGTTTCAATGCAGTATACATTATTTATCCCATCTTTCTCAGTCTCCCTCAACCCTGATGTCAGTTCCATTTTACAAGTGACACCATGCAGTATTTGTCCTTTTGTGACTGAGATACTTCACCCAGCATAATGCCCTCCAGAGTTACCCATTTTGGATAATATTGCAGGAGTTCACTGCTTTTCAATGCAGTGTAGTATTCCATTGTGTGAAGATACCACAGCTTCTCTATCCATTTGTTTGTTGATGGGCACTTAGGTTGTTTCCAACTCCTTGCTAATGTGAACAAAGCCACAGTAAACATGGGTGTGCATATAGCTGCTTGGATGTTAGTTATGGTCTTTTTGGGGTATATTCCCAGTAGTGGAATTGTTGGGTCAAATGGGCTCTCTATTTGCAACTTTTTTGTTTGTTTGCTTGTTTTATTTTTATTTTTTTATTATTTGTGTGTGTGTACCATCAAATCAGATCTGACTGGTACAGGAGGAGATTGTTCCTCCTTCTCCAGCAGAGCATCTGGTGGATTTGAACCGCACACCTCCGGGATGGCAGTGCAGCTTCTTGCCACTAGGCCACCAGAGCTCGCCTATTTGCAACTTTTTGAGAAAGTGCTATACCACCTTCCACAGTGGTTGCACCATTTTACACTCCCACCAACAGTGAATAAGAGTTCCAGTTTCTCCACAACCTCACCAGCATTTGTTGCTTGCTGTTTTGTTAAATTTTGATATTCTGACTGGGGTGAGATGATATCTCATAGTTGTTTTAATTTGCATCTCTGTTAGAGCTAGGGATTTTGAACATTTCTTCATGTGCTTGTTAGCCATCTGAATGTCTTCTTCAGTGAAGTGTCTGTTCATATCCTGTGCCCATTTTTCTACTGGATTATTTACCTTTATCTTGTTGTGGTGCTCAAGTATTTTATAAATTCTGGATATAAGTTCCTTATCTGATATGTCATTACCAAATATTTTTTCCCAGTCTGTGGCTTCCCTTTATAACCTGTTGGAGAAGTTTTTGGATGTGCATAGGGATTTGAGTCTTAGAAAATCCCTTTCATCTATTTTATCTTCTCCTGGTTGTAGGGAGAGAACTATTTTGTACAATGTTATTAAAGAGCAATGATGCCTGGAGAGTATTATGCTGAGTGAAGTGACACAATCTGATAAGCACAAATGCTACATAAGACCATTATTATAAAAATAGAAGGATAACTAGTAAAACATGTATGGGAACTCAAGGTGGGGAGAGCTGAAGATGGGTAGAGACAAAACCACAGGGTTGTACAGTTTGGTAGGTGGAGGGGGCTGGGAAAGGAAATGGGAAGGATCCAGGCAAAAAGAGTAGTGATGGGCAAGGTCCAATGGTGATTAATTTTATAAAACATAATGCAGGAGAATGATTGTATGAAACACAATGTGAATGAATAATAGTGTGGAACCCAATGTATATGCACCTTGTAAGCAAACCAATTAAAAAACCAAACAAAACACAACCCAGCAATGATGTTAGGGCCTGGAGTAACCAGAGAAAATGCAGATCATCCTCTCATTTAAGAAAGGTCACAAAATAAGTCAGAGGCTGAATCAAGACAACAAGGTAGTCCCAAGGGGACTGGAAGGAGAAGAGAGGGGGAAGCTGGCTCCCAGTTGCTTCAGGTGGCCTGGAAGGAATAGGCTTTGCTATAAATAAAAATCACAAAGGAAAAGGTATTTTGAGTGGAAACACTGAAAACAGAACTCAGCAGAGAAGGTGAGTTTAGGGCAAGATTACTTCTCTTTCAATCATAATCACCTACGAGCCAATTACAATTATTTACAAATCTAAGGTTAATAATACTTTATACTAAAAAGGCAATGTACATCCTCAAGGAAATCATAGCACTGGAGGAGTGGAAGATAAATCAGTAAGCTTATTTTAATTTAATTTTAGCTTGCGAATTCTATTGCTCTGTGACCTTCATTCAAGGAGGAAAAAAAATGGAACAGGGTAAAGATCCTACTAAGTAGCTAGGGCTCTTCTCTCACATCAAAAGTTAATTTATTTGAGCAATAGTTTATGTATTAAATTGTGTCGCCTCAAAATATGTGCTGGAGTCCACATGTGATGTGATGTAATGGCCTTTTATAATGTCATCATTCAATCATTAGGTGGACTCTAATTTGAACCACTTTTGAATAAGATATAAAGAGTGGCAGAGATAATAGTCATATAATACACATATAAATGCCAAAGTAGTCCAGTCCTTCACATACACTTCCTTTTCATCCTGGTCAGTTTTGACTCATGGTGACCCAAAGTGTGCAAGAGTAGAACTACCGTACTGGGTTTCCAAAGCTGTGACCCAGGCTTTCTCCTGAGGTGCCTCCTTGATAGGTGGAAACTGTTATCCTTCTGACAAGTCATCAAATATTAACCATTTGGGCTACTCTGGGAGCTACCACCCGTGCATACAGGGCCTCCCTAACAGGAAGGACTTGACATAGTTGAGAATCTGACTTTAGGCTTTCAGTCTTCAAGAAGAAATAGGAGAAAATAAGAAATTTATTTTCTTTTCTTGTAACCCCGTTCAGCTAGGCACTTTCTAGTTCTGGTCTCAAGGCTGTGGAAGCTGAGGTGTGCATTGTCCATCAGTTCTTTTTTTAAAATTTATCATTAATTTCAATGAAAAGCTGCAGAGACTTTGGATTTCTACTCATTCATTGTTGCACTTTTCTCCCCTCCCAACCCTCCCTCCCAGTGCACTACCTTCTTGGAAAAGTAAAAGAAAAAGTCTTTCATTGTTTTACAATCCCTTCCCGCAGGTCCACTCCACTATGCAGCCTTCACTCTGGACTCCCGTCCTGACAAAAATACCTAATCACATATCCCTTTTAAACGGTTTTCTCCCTCATCTGTTTCAATGCAGTATACATTATTGAACCCATCTTTCTCAGTCTCTCCCCAACCTCAAGGTCAGTCCTGTCTTACAACAGTGGCACCATGCAGTATTTGTCCTTTTGTGACCGAGATACTTCACTCAGTATAATGTCCTCCAGGGTCACCCATTTTGAATAATATTGCATGAGTTCCTTGTTTTTCAATGCAGCATAGTATTCCATTGTGTGAATATACCACAACTTCTTTATCCATTCGTTTGTTGATGAACACTTAGGTTGTTTCCAACTTCTTGTGATCGTGAACATATCCACGATAAACATGGGTGCAGTTCTTAGGATAAATGTTTTTGATATATCGTTTGCTTTTCTCCTCTCTTTTTTGGTCCAGATGAAGAAGAGACCAACAGCTGCCTCCTAGCTTTCCCCTTGTTGGTTCTGATATATTTACAACAAGTATTAATATAACTACAGAAATATCATCTGTAAGACCTATGTGTAGTCACGGGCATAGTCCTTTACAGTTGTCCATATGTGCCTGTCTTGCTCGTCTGCCTTATATGTTGTCTAGGTTTATTACTGCTGATGTTGCAGGATCATGTATGTAATAGTGTTTACCTATGTTGGCTGTTTTTCTTTTGTACTCTAGGTGTCTTCTCTTCCTTTAGTTGTTGTTGTTATGTGCCGTTGAGTCACCTGTGACTCATAGCAATCCTACGTACAACAACCCTAAACTCTGCTCTATCCTGAGCCAACCTTATTGTCTCTGATATACCTACCCCCATTACCCCAGTCACTGAATCAGTCCATCTCATTGATGGTCTTCCTCTCCTGCGCTGTCCCTCCACCCTCCCAAGCATGACATCCCTCTCTAAGGACTGGTCAATTCCTTGAAACATGCCCAAAGTATGTCAGACGGAGCTTCAGAATCCTTGCCTCCAAGGAGCAGCCTCGGTTCACCTTCTTTGGGTGAGCCTATTTGCCCTTCTATCAGTCCATGGTATATTCAATACTCTTCGCCAGCACCACAGCTCAAAGGCATCAATTCTGTTATCTCTAATTATTATCCAACAAACTGTGACTAACTCTGAGAAGAATGGGTATACCAGAACACTTGGCTTTGCTTATGCAAAACCTATATTTGGACCAGGAGGCAGTCTTCAGAACACAGCAAGGAAACACTGCGTAGTTCAAAACTGGGAAGGGTGTAAACCAGGGATATATCTTATCTACATATCTTTTCAATCTATATGCAGTATAGATTGTTTGGAGGCTGGGCTCTACAACGAGGAATGTGGCATCAGGATGACTCATCAATAACCTGTGCTATGCAGATGACACAACCCTACTTGCTGAAACAGGAGAAACTGAAATGCTTGCTGCAGAAGGTCAAGGACTGCAGCCTTCAAAATGGATGGAAGC